TAGCCTACCCTGGAACTAGCTCTTGTAAACCAGGCTGGTCTTGAACTCACAGAGATCCATCTGCCTCTGCCTCCCGAGTGCTGGGATTAAAGGCATGAAGGCATGAGTCACCCCCACCCAGCTTTTTTATTTTATTTTGAAACAGGGTTTCTCTGTGTAACAACTCTGGCTGTGCAGGAACTCCCTTTGTAGACCAGGCTGGTCTTGAACTCACAGAGATCTGCCTGCCTCTGCCTCCCTAGTGCTGGGATTAAAGGCGTGAGCCACCACTGCCCAGCAGGAGATTTCTGAGTTTGAGGCCAACCTACTCTACAGAGTCTTCCAGGACAGCTAGAGCTACACAGAAAAACTGTCTGGAAAAAAAATTAAAAATAAAATTAGAGATTACTTTTTTATGTGTATGAGAGCATTGCCTGCATTTCTGTGCACTGTGCACTGTGCACAGAGGCCAGAAGATGTCGATTCCCTGGATGAGAGTTAGGACAGTTACCAGCCACCATGTGGATGCTGGGAATTGAAATCAGGTACTCTGAAGAGCAGTCAGTGTTCTTGTTTTATTTTGTTTTCAAGACAGGGTATCTCTGTATAACAGCTCTGGCTGTCCTGGAATTTACTCTGCAGACAAGGTTGTCCTCAAACTCACAGAGATCTGCCTGCCTCTGTCTCCTGAGTTCTGGGATTAAAGCCATGCACCACGACTACCTGGCTTTTTTGTTGTTTTTCTTTTCCCTTGTTTTCCCCTTTTTTGATTTTTCAAGACAAGGTTTCTTTGTAGCTTTGGAGCCTGTCCTGGAACTCTAGACCAGGCTGTCCTAGAACTCACCGAGATCCACCTGCCTCTGACTTCTGAGTGCTGGGATTAAAGGTGAGCACTGCCACACACCCAGCTGTTGTTGTTTTTCCAAACAGGCTCTCGCTACAAAGCCTGGGCTGGGCTCAAACTCCCAATTCTCCTGCCTCCCCTTCCTGAGTGCCAGGATTGCAGGCATGTACCACCATGACCAACTGTATTTCCAAACTACTGCCTGTTTGAATAGGAAAGGTCCCTATGGGCTCATATATTTCAATGCTTGGTCCTTAGGGAGTGGTACTACTTGACAGGGACTAGATGGTGACATTGTTAGAGGAAGTGTGTCACTAGGGGTGGCTTAGGGGCTTCAAATGCTCTAGCCAGGCCCAGTAGCTCTCTCTTCCTGTTGCTTGTCTGTGGATCCTGATGTAGAACTCTCAGCTCCTTCTTCAGCGCCATGTGTCTGCATGCATGCCACCATGCTTCCTGCCATGGTGATAACAATTAAGCCTCGGAACTGTAAGCAAACCCCACTTAAATGGTTTCCTGTATAAGAGTTGCTGTGGTTGTGGCGTCTATTCGCAGCAATAGAACAGTGACTAAGACACTGCCCCAAACAAGTGGGAACTCTTTTTCTCAGTCTCCCAAAGATGATTACCACTTCTTAGACAAAGTGATCCAAACCTATGAAAGAGGATTTTCTCGGGCTCTTACTGTTGTGTGACCATCCTGTGAGAACAGGATAAAGCCACGACTTCACAGTAATGAAGAGAGAACCATGTTCCTATGCTTTTACTCTACTTTCAAATCACAATCCTTGGAGAGGAAGGCACAGGCTGGGGGAAAGCTCAGTAGTAGGGGCTTCACTTAGGCTAGGACTCTGGTACTGATTCCCAGGATTAGCAAACAGGTCCATGCAGCCTGTTCTGCCTCCCGCCCCCGTACATGCCTGCCGCTCATACACAGCCAGGTAAGCTCTTAACCTGGGATCTTATTATTCTTCTGTTGCAAGAATACATTTGGGGCTCCATGGTTAAGAGTTAAGGGTTTTTTCTAAAGGACCTGAATTCAGTTCCCAGTACCCACACTAGGTGACTCACAACTGCTTTAAATTCCAGGGGATCTACTGCCCTCTTTTGGCCTGCACACACAGGTTATGCACACACACATACACACAAACAAACAAAGAGAGAAACAATCTTAAAAACAGAAAGAAACACAGGATGGCATGGAAACACACACAAGCACCTGATCTGTCTGGGGAGGGAAAATGTGTCATTTAGGCTGAGCCCGAGAGACTGGCAGGATAACAAGAGGACAGTGTATGAAGCTGGAGGCCGATAGAAGGGACAGCACCAGCTTGGGCTCCAAGCATCTCCAGGCCTGCCTTCTGCTCTTGTTCTAGTTCCCTTTATGTTGTGCCCAGTTTCAAATACTGTGCTTATTACTGTGGGGAGGCATTGTGACAGACTGTCTTATGTGTACATATGCACCGATCTAAGGACTGCCTACAGTTTTAATGGGGGAGAGGAACAAAGAAAATATCATCCAAGTTTTAGAAATTAAAACCAAAATAAAAACAATTGGTCTTTACTGAAAACATTAACAAAATTAAAACCGGCATACTCGACAAGCACTCTGCCCCCAGCCACATCCCTAGTCTTACTTTTGCATTTTTCACATAGCTTTTAAATGGCTGCACAAAATGTCTGTTAGTAATGAGCATCCCATTTTATCAGAGGTGACAGATGAAGCATCTTCTGCATTCCTTCTTTCCTGATGACAGATAAAGCATCTCCTGCGTGCCTTCTTTCCTGATGATGTCATCCAGAGGTGACAGATGAAGCATCTTCTTCATGCCTTTTTTTCCTGATGATGTCATCTGGATGTGACAGATAAAGCATCTTCTGCGTGCCTTCTTTCCTGAGATTTTCTTAGGTAGATTTCCAGAAGTGTAGTTGGCTTACGGGGCAGGCATAGTTTCAGGGACCTTGAAAGGCATCCTAGGCTCCTGGAAATGTTAGGTTGTACCAATTCCCATTCCCAGAAAAGAAGTGTGGGACACTCTGGGAGCCACAGCAGGGACGACACATGTCAGACAATACGAAGAAGTGCAGGATTTAAAGGAATGCAAATATCTAGGCTCAGACTTATTTCTACCCCTTTAGTTTAAGCTTCTTTCATGAGTGTGCCTCCCACTCCCCAAACCATGCAGTGGCAGGCAGCTGGGCCCATAGACGAAGACAGGAGACTCACAAGCTCAAGGGTGGCCCAGGAAACTTAGCAAGACCCCGAAATGTGAAGGAGTACTTTGCTAGGAAAGTCCTTGCCAAGCACAGGCAAGGCCCTAGGTTCCATGTCTAATACTGCAAAGAAAAAATTTAAACTAAAAACACATGAATAAACTTATAATATATGCTAACTTAATATAGATAACAGATGGGCCTGCCCCAAATAATTGTGTGTGTGTGTGGTGTGTATAATTGTGTGCGTATCACATACATTTTAACATACATGAATGAATGAATCTATGAAAATATTTTAATATATAGACATAAGATATATTCAATATACACATGGAAGTGACTCATCATATGTTTTGGACTTTCTCATTTGTTCATATTTCCCAAGGCGAAAACCTTTTAACCTCAAATACAGACGTCGGAGGCAAACCTGTTACCATGCGCTGCATCAGCATTCACCAGACACTTCTCAATTCAGTTCTCCGCTGGATACAGAGATAAAGACAGACACCTGCCCTAAAGAAGCAGCGTCTCACTGGGAAGCTAGAGACAGGGGGTGGGCTACATGGAGCCATCTGAGCATCAGGCAGGCCACTGGGAACCAAGTACAGCTGTTCCTGGGGAGCTCTTTATTTGCATTGGACAGGAAATGGTTGAGGCCTGGCCTGCCTTACAGGGTGGGAGACAAATCCACCAAGAATTCTTCAGGGAGGGGAAAGTAGTTCTTTTGCAGTGTCAGCCTCTGGAGAGAAAGCCGGGTTCGGGTGCAAAGGAAGAGGCCACCTGGCCACGTTTGTGGAGCACGCACGAGCTGGATGGCCAGCACCTTGCAGAGCCCCTGCTGGACTGGGCTCTGCTCTGTGTTTTTCATGAAGTATCAGCTTCAAACAGACACGGTGGGGCAGGGTCTATCACGACTACCATTTCCACACTGCATTGGACTCACAGCTGGCTCAAGTCTATGTGCTCTGAATCAGTGGGGAAAACCACTGGACACCAGCCTGGTGTGTTCATTTAGAGGGAATGCTATCTCAAGCCACAGTCCGGGGCTAGAGGTGGGGGCAGCTCAGTGATAGAGCACTTGCTTAGCACTGGGGAAGGGTACCCTGGGTTGCTATCAGCTTTTATTTCTAGGTTATTTCAGTGGACAGAATTTGGAAATATCTATGTTTATAATTTGTTTTCTTTGTTTTGAGACTAGACTTTGTCTAGTAGGGCTCAGGTTGGCTTTGAATTTGAGATGTGGTGGAAGCTGGCTTTGAACTCTTGATCTTCCCTGTCCCACCTCCCAGGTGCTGGGATTACAGGCATCTACCATCGTGCCCAGCTGACACGTGCATTTGTAAACAACAGCCTGAGGTGTAGCTAACACAAGAACATACGCGCCTTTAAGGTAAATAACGGATGTGGATCTCTCACCACTGTCAAGACAGTGAACATGGCCCTATAAGTTTCCCTGGGTGCTGCCTAATTCTTTCCATCCTCCTTCCCCTGCTCTTCCTAGCCACTTCTCCTGGCCTTCAGCAGGCCGTTTGTTTGATGAATCAGAATAATCAAATGTATTTATTTCCGTAAGTTTGTAAAATAGTTCACATCATGGACTTTTAGTCCATTCTGAGCTCCCAGGAGAGGCTTTGATAACTGGAGAGGTCTCAGTACTTGTAGGTGTAAGCAAATTGAAAGCCTATTCCAGACACTTAAAAGATTCATTCTTATATTTCTGTTGCTGCACAACCACTTCTGGTACCATCAGCATTCTCCAGAGTAACAGAACTTATAGAATGGATCTTTTTGTTTTTTTCATTTCATTTCATTTTTCTTTTCTTTCTTTCTTTTTTGTTTGTTTCTTTTTTTTTTTTTTTTTTTTTTTTTGAGTTTTCGAGACAGGTTTTCTCTGTAGCTCTTGGAGACCAGGCTGGTCTCAAACTCACAGAGATCCACCTGCCTCTGCCTCCCAAGTGCTGGGATTAAAGGTGTGCGCCACCACCACCAAGCTCAGTTCCCTTCTAATACTTCCTGTTTACTTTTTTTTTTTTTTGAGTCAGGGTCTTGCTATGTTTCGTAATGATGTGTTGAATTGTGTGGTTATTATTTTTTTTAAATATTTATTTATTTATTATGTATACAATATTCTGTGTGTATGCCTGAAGGCCAGAAGAGGGCGCCAGACCTCTTTACAGATGGTTGTGAGCCACCATGTGGTTGCTGGGAATTGAACTCCGGACCTTTGGAAGAGCAGGCAATGCTCTTAACCACTGAGCCATCTCTCCAGCCCCCTTGTGTGGTTATTATTAATAAGTGAATGAAAGAATGCATCAGTAAATGTCTGAATGGATGAGGTGAATCACCTTCTCTCAGCCCTCACTTTGGCTCATGGTAGATGAGCACTTTAATATTCTTTATCCCGTGGACTGAGGAAGACTCAGCATGGCCCTGGCTGCAGCAGAGCTCTCACTGCCATCCGACAACACAGGCAGGCACCACCTCTGCAGTCCGAGCCTATCCTTGGCGTTCATTCCATGGAAGTCGTTGGGTGTCTAAAGAGCATCTCCTGCTTGATTCTGAACATATTGGCGTTGCGCTTGCTGTGGAGGAATGAAAAAGACACAGACATAAATGGCGGGAACTTCTTATGACCAAGACGACAGCAGGCTAGAATCAAGCACCTGGGGGAAGCAGGTCAAAAGGCCAGCAAACAACAGGTGACAGGGACATACATGCCATGAATGTACGAGGACAGGGGGAGATGTATACAACCAAGGAAGAATCTGGGACTGTGGCAATACACAAGAGGAAGAGAATCAAGACAAGCAAATTAAAACAGACAGCTAGGCTTAGCTCTCAGAACAAAAACACCTAGGAATAAGTGAACAGAGGCCTGGCTCGTTGCCAAGAGTGTTGAATGAATCCTACTAGGGACCAATGAAAGTGACCGCATCAGCTCACAGGCTTTGGGGAAGAAGAGGAAGGAACCACCACAGCACCTGATGTTAGACGCGCCGGGGAGAAGGAAGTGCCAAGAGCTGCTGGGAAGTGGGAAAGGGGCACAGCAGTGTCTGACAACAGCTATGCAGAATGTTTGCTTCTTAACTTAAGGAGCATTGCTAGGGCAGGGCACAGTGGCACACATCTGTAATCCAACACTTGGGAGGCTGAGGTAGGAGGCTCTTCAGTTGGGGACACTCTGGAATACTCGGTGAGACCCTATCTCAAACAGTAACATAATGATGATGATGACGATACACTTCCATCACATCTACTTTGCTTGTGTCAGGCACTGTGTTCTGGGCTTTACAAAGAGCTGGCCGATTCATTCTGCACATCAGCCCTGGGCCATAGGTACTATTATCATTCCCATTTTACAGAGAAAGAGCCTGAGAATCAAGATAAGAACCATATAGGGCCGGCGGTGGTGGCGCACGCCTTTAATCCCAGCACTCGGGAGGCAGAGGCAGGAGGATCTCTGTGAGATCGAGACCAGCCTGGTCTACAAGAGCTAGTTCTTGGACAGGCTCCAAAACCACAGAGAAACCCTGTCTTGAAAAACCAAAAAAAAAAAAAAAAAAGAACCATATAGGGTCATAGAACCAGGGGGTTCTGAGGGGGAGCACTTTAAAAGCTCGGTGATTGAAATCGCTGCCTCTCTATTTAGCCCTTAAAAGATGACTGTGTCCAAGCCTGGCCATTGATGTGGGATTTCCCTCAGGGTGCTGTGATTACCATTGATAAATAAAGGAACTGCTTTGGGCCTGTAGCAGAACTATAGGGGAACAGAGCTACGTGTAGAAAACTAAGTTCAATGCTGGGAGTCAGAGAGAAGCCATGGAGCCTCCACAAGAGACAGATACTGGGAACTTTACCCAGTAAGCTACAGCCACATGGTGATACACAGATTAATGGAGATGTGTTAAATTAATATGTAAGAGTTAGCCAATAAGAAGCTAGAGCTAATGGGCCAAGCAGTGAATTAATTAATATGGTTTCTGGGTAATCATTTCAGGGCTAAGTGGCCGGGAACCAACAAGCGGCCTTCTGCTACAGGCCATGGTGGCACATATCTTTAATTCCAGTACTTGGGAGGCAGAGGCAGGCAGATCTCTGTTTCTGGGGCCAGCTTGGTCTACAGAGCAAGTTCTAGGACAGTCAGGGCTACACAGAGAAATCCTGTCTTGAAAAACTGAAGATTCAGAGAGATGACTCTGCCTTGCTTCACCCCACTTCAATTAAAATACCAACTAAAGTTTCCTTTTCTTAGTTTTTTTTTTTTTATTTTATGTGTATGAGTGTTTTGCTGGCCATGTACATATGTGCATCACGTGCATGCCTGGTGCCCTTGGAGGCCAGAAAAGGGTATTTATTCGATTCCCTGGAATTAGAATGGAATTAGATGGTTGTGAGCTGTCCTTTGGGTTCTGAGAATTTAACCCAGGTGCAGGGCCCAGCAAAAAGGAGTCCTTTTGGGTCGAGCCTGGCCAGGACTCCCAGCCAGGCATGCTCCAAGACTTCCTGACCTAAGAGGTAAGGACCACAGAGGTGGCAGCAATGGTTCTCTGACACTTTCGACAGTTGCCACACCTGGACCTTTTCTGTGCGGTAAACCAAAAGGGAAGCTGTTGGCCTGGTTCACACCCGGGGTCTTTCGGCAGCAGTCAGCTGATGCTGGTGTTTTGCTGGTGTTTATACCATCCTTTTGTGTGTGTGCACGGGTGTATGATATTTGGGGGGGACACGTGTGTACTACGGCACATGTGTGTCAGAGGACGACCTTGGGTGTTGGTCCTTGTCATCTACCTTGTTTGAGACCATCTTTTTGCTGTTATTTACAAGATTAGCTAGCCCACAAGCTTCCGGGAGTTCGCCTGCCTCCACTTCCGCTTCCATCTCACTGCAGGAATACTGGGATTACAGGTGCAGGTTGGGCTCCAGAGAGCAGGTCCTCATGACTGTGTGGCAAGGACTTTACTCAGTCAGTGCATATGTGCATGATCCTTTGAAAATTCTGATTTTTTTTGGTTTGTATTTCACAGCACACGGAATATAAATACACACATTTTTCTGAGACCTCCAGAACTGTAAGCTAAATAAATCTTTTTGTCATGAACACTCAGTCTTGTGCGTTTCATTACAGCAACAAAAAGAACTAATTCACCAATTAGATCCCCGTACTTGTTCTTTTAAAATCCTTGGCCTCAGCTTCCTAAGTGCTGCAATTATAACCTCATGCCACCACTTTCTGCTTGTAAACGGTTTCTTTCTTTCTTTCTTTCTTTCTTTCTTTCTTTCTTTCTTTCTTTCTTTTTTTTGTTGTTGTTGTTGTTTGTTTTTCAAGACAGGGTTTCTCTGTGGCTTTTGGAGCTCTTGTAGACCAAACTAGCCTTGAACTCACAGAGATCCGCCTGCCTTTGCCTCCCCAGTGCTGGGATTAAAGGCGAGTGCCACCACTGCCAGGCTGTAAATGGCTTCTTAATTAGCAATATGTTATCAAGGACTAGTTTCTGAAATATTTTTCTGAGCCAAGCTTGAGAAAGTCTGTGGATTCCTGATTGGGAGGTATATACAGGTACCAAGTTCAGACAAGGATTTGCAGGACCCTTTACAAGTTCCCCCCCCCCCCCCACCTGCCACTGGGTTTCTGAAAGCCAAATTTAATAAGTGACATACCCTTGCTGACCATCTTCCAGCACTTCCCATAACAGAATGTAAAGGACTTCATAAAAACCTCGCTTGTCCAGAGACAGCCTAAGAGTCCCTGACGTCCTGCCCACACCCTGCCCCCACCTCCTTCCATGTGGTGCCCCGCCTCCATCCTGAGCTTTTCCCCACCCCTTGCTCTGCCCGCCTCCCAGGCAGTGGTCCCTACATCTGAGTCTTCACCTCTGGCTCTGCTCTCCTAGCTTCTGCCTCTTTCACATCCCTGCCTCCTTCTGCCGGCAAATTCTGTCACCTGTGCCAGACAGTCACATCACTTCTGCACGGCTCCTGGAGCCCTGCTCCATCTTCCCAGGTGCTGTGGGCATTTAATTTGCTGATCTATTTGCTGCCCTTCACTCTTCACTGCTTGTCAGCTGGGGCTGTGGGGACCTACTGCTGGATTCCCACAGGCGCCTATGGCAGCCGGCTGTAACCTGTGTCTGTGTTTGGGAACCCGTGACTAGTCCCTACCCTCAGGAAAGTTTAACTTTCATATGTGGTCATGTTTGTGCTGGGCTTATTTTCTCAATGTTCAGCACAGGGTAAACCATTGGTAAATGGAGCTGCCATTTTCATCCGACAATGTAGCACTATTATGACAATACTTCAAACAGCGAGGGGAAGCAAAATATCTGAAAAGATGCAGTGGACCTGCACGGAGTTCCCCTGCCAGGTAGGTCTCTCGGGCAAACCCTGAGAGAGCTAGGCTGGAGGGTAGGTACTTCCTAGTCCCTTCTTCCCACTGTTGGCCCACCTCACCTGGAACTGGAAGGAGGTCCGATTCTGTAGGGGCTTTGTAGGCCCAGGGAGTAGTTATCGAGACTTACTAATGAGAAAGGGGACTGGAAACCCCTCCATTTCTCTTCCGCCTCTTTCTGTTTCTTCCTGTGTGGAAGCAAAATGGATGTCAATAAAACTAGCTCAGAAATTCAGTGTGGTTTCTCGGGAAGCAGCTCTCCTGGCACCTTGAAACACATGGGAAGTTACATGAGTTGGCAAGGCTGGCAAAGGGAAAGGAAAGTAGAGCCAACACAAGGCCACTCCCCCTCATTAATCTTCCAGCAGCAGCTTGAGGTCCAAGACTGAACGAGACTCTGGGAAATAGGGGTTATTTAAATGCAGGGCACCTGCTCCACAGTGTTTCCAGAAAGCAGCCGGCCAGGCATCAGCCCACAGAGAAAGACTCTTCCCTCCCCAGCACAGAATGGTCCTGAGAAAAGGTGGCTTGCTTCCCTGTCACATGAAGGGAGGAGCCCCAGCCATCAGGGTTGGCTCCTATGGGCTTTTTGGAGCTTCCCCAAAGAAGCCGGAGAAGACGCCTCAGGGAGATGGAAGCAGCTTCAGGTCAGAAGAAAAGCGTAGGGTGTGTGGGGGAAGCAGCTTCAGGTCAGAAGAAAAGCGTAGGGTGTGTGGAGGATGTCTGCGCAATCCAGCGAGGGGTGGAAATATTGCATGGGAGGATGAGGATGCTGTCTCATACTGCCTTCTTAATCTCTTCCACCGCTGGAAGATTACAGTTATTATTTCGTATTTTATCACATTCTCAATAAATAACCATCAGTATGTGGTTTTCTATTTGTGTTTGTTGGTTTGTTTGTTTTGTTTTGTTTTGTTTTGTTTTTTGAGACAGGGTCTCACTACGTAGCCCTGGCTGTCTGGGAACTTACTCTGTAGCCTTGCTGGCCTCAAACTCACACAGACCTGCCTGCCTCTGAATGCTGGGATTAAAGGTGTGCACATTTTTTTTTATCAGTGCAGGGGTCACATTTCAGGGAACACGTTATACACGAGTGGCTCTCAGGGGTGAGCATGTACACAGCTTTCTTGGCTCTCACCCTTGATGAGGCCGTGGGTGAGTGTGACCATGTTACTATTATTTAGACCTTGTAGCTTTCATTTTGTAAAATTTATGTCTTTCAGGATATATTCAAACAAAACCTTTTATGACGCAGGGATGGCAGCCCCCTCCTACTGTAGGCTTCCGGAGGTTCCTCTCCAACCAACAGACACACGAAAGCTGTGAAACGACTGACCACTGGGGCTGGAGGGATGGGCAAGCAGTTAAGGTCACTGGCTGCTCTTCCAGAGGACCTGGGTTCAGTTCCCAGTACTCACAACTGTCTCTAACTCTCGTTCTAGGGTCTCTGCTATCTTCTTCTGACATCTTGAGCTCCTGCATGAATGGGATACCTACGTCTGCATGCAGTCACACATAGAATTAATTTCTTTTAAATCCCTTAACATCCCCATCCTATTCTGGGAGCATAGGTCTCAAGAAAAAGCTGTGGCAGGAAGGTGGGGATGGAGAAAGGCGTTGTGATGAATGATGAGGAGCAGGAGAGGTGGTGAGCAGGTAGACGAGCAGGCGAGAGATGCCAGCTGGCAGAAAGACTGGAAAACCCTCCTGATCGTGGCTACCAGTGACAAAACAGAGCTCGTGGGAGAAGAGCCCCAGGACCCTGGGTCATAGAAGGTGGCGGTGCGTGAGTGACCCCAAATGACATCTGAGGCTCCTGACTCTCTAGTCCACCTCTACCCTCAGAATTAGCCCTTTTCCTTCCTTAATAAATCATCTCTATTACAATCTATCCACCCCTGGGCCAGTTCTCTATTCTGAGACACGAGACTGGGGAAAGCTCAGCGGGTGCCCTTCGAACCCAGACAGACACCTGCACACCTGCCCCACCTGGTGAGAATTCTCCCATTTCACACTGGACATTTTCTAAGGCTTCTGTTTGAACAAACCTTGAGAGAAACGTCGTTTCTCGGTGGAGGGTTCCTTTGGATTTCTTGTCAAGCAAGTCATCAATCAGAAAGGAGGGCGAGAGAAAGGCATGGTTGGCCCTTTTTCTTTCTGCTGCTTTTTGATCGATAATATTCACCTCCCTGGGGGATAAGATGACAAAAGACATATATTGAAAAGAATTAGTCAGTGTCATCTTTTCTTTTTCTTTCCTTCTTTCTTCTCTCTCTTTCCTGAGACAGGGTTTCTCTGTGTAGCTTTGGCTGTCCTGGAACTCATTCTGTAGCCCAGGCTGGTCTCAAACTCACAGTGATCACCCTGCTTCTGCCTCCTGAGCGCTAGGATTAAAGGTGTGCGCCACCACCGTCCGGCTGCAATGCGATCTTGTCAGATAAACATCTACATTAGTCTGCCAGGAAACAGCTAACCACATAGGGGTCACCACATCCCACATACAGACCACACGGGTTTTATGATAGATATAAAGTGAAACCACAGAAGAAATAAGGGCTCCACCATCTTAAAAGCAGCCTCGTCTACGCATAGTTTCAGAAGGAAGCTGGATTCACTGGGCCTCTGCTGCCTGCTGTGTGACCCCGGGGAAATGACTTTACTTCGCCATGTTAGTGTGCTAGTGTGTTCACAGAGCTCCCTAGATTTGTGGTGAGGCCAAATGTTCAACAGTGCCAGGTACACAGGAAATGCTCGGAAAGTGTTGGCAGCTGCTGCTACTGGAAGCTTTCGCTAGAGTGTGTTCACAGGGCACATAATGGCTTTGCTGAACTGGGTAACCCTCGGCTGACTTCCGAAATGCAAGTAAACAATTACTTGACGAAGATCACACTATGAGTATTCAAAGTCAACAAAAGAGCCATTCGTATATGTTTATGTGAGTTAAGATGTTGTCACAAGGGGCTGTATCGATGGCTCAGCAGTTAAGAGCACAGCTTACTCTTAGAGAAGACCCACACCCAATACTCAGCACCCATATGGCAGACAGCTCACAACCTTATCAGTATTCCAATTCCAGGAGATTCAACAACCTCTTTTGACTTCTATGTAGGTACCAGGCATTAAGGTGGTACACATACACGCAGAAATGCAAGACACACACATAAAATAAATTGACATGGATAATAAGACAGAGTCTGCTCAACATCAGAGCCAATGCTCTGGACCTGTGTTCTATTAGAGAAACAAGTAGTAATGTCCCTAAAGCATCCTAGCCCGCCTACGAGTCATCTTCCGCATGGCCACTTTCATTCCAGCTCTGGCCGTCATTTAAAAAACAAAGCAGAACACCATTTTGCTATTTAGATATTCAGGGGTCTAGGGACATACCCTGTGTGGTAAAGTGCTAGCTGTGAGAGCCTTAGGACATGAACATAGCTCCAGCATACGTGTAAAAGCCATGTGAGATGTGCCTGCATTCCCAGTGCTGGAGAGGCAGAGACAGGAGAGTCCCTGGAGCTCGCTCAGATTCAGTGGGAGACCCTGTGTCAGAAGTCAGATGGCAAGAGGGTTGGAGAGATGGCTCAGAGGTCAAAAGCCAGAGACTCATAAATTGGGGATCAAAACCAGGTGGATTTCTGGGCTTGCTGCCATAGGCTTAGCAAAGGGAACACAGCATGAGAGACGCCCTCTCCTAGCAATATGCACATCCCAGGCCAGGTCTATCCAGAGCCCAGTTAGGCTCCAAGTTAGGAGGCTTCTGCCTCTCAGTTTTTCGAGTGCTGGGATTACCGGCATACACTGTGATGTCAGCTTTTAACTAAAGAGCTTTTTCTTCGTGAGCGTGTGTGTGTGTGTGTGTGTGTGTGTGTGTGTGTGTACATAGGCTCCTACTCTGTAATTCATAACTTGAGGTAATTTTGCCTCAGCCATCCTGAATGCTAGACTTACAACTGACAGCCACCACCACACACAGTGGGGAAACACACACATACACACACATTCTAAAGAAGGGAGCTAGGCTCTGTCAATGAGCTGTTTCTCATCCGGCTGAGCACAGGAAGGCTGACTGTATTCAGTGAAGGCAGAGAGCAAGCTAGCAGCCCCACCGCACTGCAGCTAAACCCTGCTGGCCGCTGCAGTGGACAAGTGTCCACGCCCACACCCTCCACACCCTCCTACCTCTCGAAGTTCTCCTGCAGCTCCGTCAGGTAGTTGTTAAAATAGGTCCACTCATTCTCGTGCAGCTGATACAGCCGCTTGAGCTTTCTCTTTCGAGTCTCCATGTTCTTCATGACCAGTAAGATGATGTCAGCGTAGGTCATGGCAGAGTCAGTGGATTCTGCTGTCAAGGAAAGGCCCACTGTATTGCCCCCACACACACACTGTTAGTGGCTGAGACCCATGCTTAAAAGAAAAACAAAAAACAAAAAACAAAAAACAAACAAACAGAGGGCTGGAGAGATGGCTCAGTGGTTAAGAGCATTGCCTGCTCTTCCAAAGGTCCTGAGTTCAATTCCCAGCAACCACATGGTGGCTCACAACCATCTGAAATGTGATCTGATGCCCTCTTCTGGCCTGCAGGTAGACACACAGACAGAATATTGTATACATAATAAATAAATAAAATATTTAAAAAAACAAACAAAAAACAAACAAACAAACAAACCCAAACACCAAACCAGAAAACGAGATGAGTGTCTCGTGCAGCTGGCTGCAGATGGAGCGGGGAAGGACAGTGTAGACTGCACAAAGGACAATGTTGGGTGCTCTGGTGTTCTGGAGGGAGTGACCTGAGGTTGGCTAGGGCTAGCCTGGGAATGAAGAGAGCTGTCCTGTCTGTGGTCAGGCAGTGTCCACCTTGTCATAAGGCCCCCCTTTGGCCCTGTCCATGGTAGGGAGGCAGAAAGTACTTCCTTAGATGTCTAAAGAAGGAGGACAGCAGCACCCACTGCTGGGCAGTGCAGCGCTGTTTCCAGAGGGTTCCCCAGCATCACCGGTTCTTTGCAGCTGCAGGCCACCAGTTTAGTTCCGAGCCCAGCTGAATAGTCTGGACTTGGAGTCTGCCATCACAACGATAAAGGGGAGGGGACTCCAATATCCCTCCTTGGAGGCCTGATGACTCCTCTCTTGTTTTCTGGCTTGGCATTTGGGTTTGTTTGTTTGTTTGTTTTTTAAGATAGTCTTACTGTGTAGACCAGGCTGGCCTTGAGCTCACAGACATCCACCCACCTTTGCCTCCTTGAGTGCTGGGAGTAAAGGTGTGCACATCAAGCCCAGCTGGATTTCGGTTTTTTGAAACAGGATGCAACTATGTCTCAAGTTAATATCTAGCCTCCTGCCCCTCCCTTGAGTGCTGGCAGTATAGGTGCATACCTTCACACTCAGTTTCATCGTCCATTTCAAGTCTAATGCTGAAGAGGCCCCTCTTTCAGTTAGGTGTGGTGAGGCACACCGGTAATCCTAGCACTCGGAAAATAGAGTTAGGAGGATCAAGTTCGAGGACACAGGGAGTCCCAGGCCAGCCAGAGTTGCAGGTTACACCGAATCAAACCACACCTCTCTCCTCTGCTGCACTCCAGCCCCTGGTTAGAACCTCAGCTGCATTTGTGACAAGCTTTGGAACCTCTGCTGTCACTCTCTGTGTCTCCATTTATCTATCTATGAAAGGGGATAACAGCCAGGTCTGGTGATTTACACCTGTAATCTCAGCAATCACGAGGCTGAGGCAGGAGGATTGCCCTGAGTTTGAGACCAGCCTCAGCTATATGGTCAGACCCTAACTTAAGAACCTCTCAAAAAGATCACCCTTCCTTTAGAGGATGGTGACAACAGCAATGGCATTTAGTGCCAACTACACACCACCCAGTCACAACACCGCTAGCTCGGTGGGACGTCTCCACTTAGGGAGCTTGGAGGGTGACTAGCCAGCCAGCTGCTGCCTCAGGAGCCACAGTGACCTAAAGGACAGGGTGATGCTGGGACAGTTTGGATTGTGTTGTTTAGTGACAGCTGTCACCATCCTTCAGAAATCTGTGTCATGGTCTACAGGCAGAAGAGGAAAAGGTCTTCTGCTGCCCTCCTGCCCATGAGCCTGGAGTACCAGCTCTGTGCTGAGCACCCTCTACTGCTCTGGGAATCAATCTGCAAAAGTGCCCCTGAAGCTGGGTGTGGCGGCACAAGTCTTAAATCCCAGCACTCAGGAGGCAGAGGCAAGCAGATCTCTGTGAGTTCAAGACCAGCCTGGTCTACATACACAGTAAGTTCCAGGCCAGCCAGGACTACACAGACAGACTTTGTCTTAGAAAACAAACAGCACTCCTGAGGTGGAAACCCTTATTCTGATTTTACAGATGAAAAAAGTGATGCCCACAGAGAAACCGGGATGTTTCCAAGGTCACTTGGCTGGCTAGTGTAGCATTAGTTCCAGAGTCTGGAGCTATTTGAACAAACAGCGCAAACTGATTCCCAGTAGAACTCATGCTCTAGCCCCAAGGCATGTTGTGAGGGCTCAAAATACCAACGCATGCTGTACCTGTTTCCCACGAGCTGAGCTTTTTACCGGCTCCAAATGGAGCTGGGAAGGAGGAGGTTAGATGAAACTCTCACATGGATGCCAAAACTGATGGGCCATACACTCTTGGACCAGTGAGCATCTAGCTATGGTACCTAAGTTCATGCTGAAAGATGAAAATGCATGCCTAGGGTCTACTGGCCAGCACCCAAGGTCTAGACTTGAGACTCACCTTAGCACACAAGCAAGACTCTACCCCTGAAGCACATACCATGGCTGCTCCTACCAAGTACACACTGTGTGCCAGGTTACGCACAAAAGCCTGGATGCTTCCCCTCAAGCCCCGCTTCTGCAAAGAGGTGGCAGGAGTCTGGTGAAAAGGATATGGGACGACATTGGTCTTTTCTCTCCTGCTGACCAGCACATCCTGGCCATTCTGCTGCAGCTTGGAGTAGTTGAGGAAGAAGTACACGATTAGCGGGCTCTTCCCATAAAGGTTGAATTGGTTTGAAGTCAGCTTGGGGCTTTTGCAGGCATGGTGGGACTGGGGGAAAAGGAAGGAAAGGATATTGTCACGTGTGATGCAGAGTGTCATCAACTTAACAGGAATTAGAGTCACTCAAGGAACAAGTCTCCAGACATAAAAATGAGGGATTATTTAGCTTCTGGGCATATCTGTGAGGGAGTATCTTGACTGATCAAATTGGAAGATCCATCTTCCCTGTGGGTGGAGCTATTCCTGTCTGGCTTGGAGAACATGAGCTTAGAGCTAGCATCCATGGCGCTCTGCTTCCTGAGTGTGAACACAATGTGGCCACCTACCTCAGGTCCCTGCTGCTGTCCCCTCCCCATTTCCATGGTCTGTACCATGAGTCCAAACAAAGCCTCTCTCCCTTAGCTTGTTCTTCTCCGGGCATCTTATCACAGCAGTAGGAACAGCAATGGACATGCCATGTTTCCAGCATCCATGCCTCTGGCCCAGCAACTCCAGCTTAAGACGCCTCCTCAGGGAAGGCCAACACAAAGGAAAGGTTCTGCATGCAATAACAAAGAGCCGTGTCCCTTGTCAGAAATAACTGGACAATGCGCAACACAGGCTTAGGGGCAAGTGAATTCCAACTGTATGCTTTTCTTGTGAATCTAATGTATGTGTTTTGTTCTAGTAATTCCATTTCTCTAAGTTTTTCCTCCATGGTCACTTGTACATGTGAGGCAACACACACACACACACATAATTTAACAAAAACTTTAAAGACTGATTTTTTCACCAATGGCAAAGATTATCATTGTAATTAATATGCAGGCTGTCACAAAAAGGAGCTTAGCGGAGCGGTGCACATAGTCAGCAGTTGGCAGGTTAAGGCAGGCAGATAAGCAGTTCAAAGCCAGCTTGGGAGACAATGAGACCTATTAATTGAGGGGTAGGGGAAGCCAGGAAGTAGTGGCACACATCTTTAATCCCAGCAAGAGGCAGGTGGATCTCTGAGTTCAAGGCCAACCTGGTCTACAAAGTGAGTTTCAGGACAGCCAGGGCTATACAGAGAGACCCTGTCTCAAAAAACGAAAACAAACAAACAAACAACAACAACAAGAAGACAGGTGGTGGCGGAGCTGGGTGGCAGCAGATGCTACCAGCTTTTGACTTCTTTTGGCAACCCAGCCCTCTCACGTCAGGCAAGCGCTCCACCTCAATACACCCTGGTCTGGAAATGTTGTGCTTCTTTTTTCTTTTTTTCTTTTTTCCTTCCTTCCTTTTTTTTTCTTTTTGTTGTTGTTGTTTTGTATTCCAAAACAGGGTTTCTCTGTATAACAGCTGTGCCTGGTGGTAAGCTTGCATAGGCTGGTGAGATCTGAACCCACTGAAAAGGTGTATTTATTTCTATAACAGAGAGAAGGAAGCAGAAGCAAGCTCACAGCTCTCTTCCTGTTATGCATGGGGGGGTCTGAGTTAAAGTAGAAAAAAATATTATTTATGCCTTCAGAGAACAAGGTCTGACTCTAGCTCGGGATAGCCTAGAACTTGCTACATAGCTCAGGCTGGCTAGAATGCTTAGCAATCCTCCCAAGTCAGCCTCCTAAGTGCTGGGATTACAGGTGTGAGCTACCATACCTGGCTCCAGCAGGGAATTTAAATACAGACAAAACACTCTGACAATGGGTGTCTTCTTGACCCAGGAATCATCCTTAGGAGATCTACAGGCAACATCTGGGCTGTAATCAGAAATGCCCCTACTCTTACGTGCCATTTGCGTAAGATGAAGATGCTTTGGCCATCCATGGCTCCTTTAACTCAACTCTGCTCTAAGCCGGAGATGCTCAGCAGTTAAGGACGTCTGCTGCTCTTCCTGAGGATATGAGTTTGGTTCCCAGTGACCACGTCGGGTGACTCACAAGGGCCTGTAACTCCAGCTCCAGGGGCTCAGACACCCTCTTCTGGCCTCTGAGGACACCTGCACTCACATATATACATACTCACATGCACACTATATGTACACACACACACACACACAAATTAAAAACAATAAAATAGACCTTAAATTTCCAATCATATGCTCACCTCTTTCAGATACAAACTCATCCATGCTCTGGCTTCCGATATCCTCTTGACTTGCTGCGTGGCTTTCCGGGAGAACAGGGTTGATGTTGGCTGATCTGTCAATGTGATACAGCAAAAAAGTGATTGTGAGTATTTACCCAGGGAAAAGGGCGTCTGGGGTGGGTCTCGGTTTCCCACTAGAGCGGAAGTGCCCTTGCATGGTGGGATTGGTGCAAGGCGACAGTCCTCTGGAATTGCAGGGGACCCAGATGTCTCCATTTGCTCTACAGCCAGACAAACAGCCATAGGCCATAATGGCCCATCTCTCTGTCCACAGATAATCACTGAACACCCACTCCAAACCAGGTTCATGCTGGGTACTAGAAATGGATTACCTTCAAGGACCTCCTAGTTTACTGAGGAAAAAAAAGGCATGACGTGTAAATAACAAGAGCCACACTAACCCAGGCGCCATGATAAAGTATCTATAAAAACCGTGTGGTCACAGAATAAGGACTGTCCCAAAGTTTTTAAAATGCCATGCAGGAACAGAATGAGCATTGGGTCTACAATACAAAAAAAAAAATCTTCTGCACAAAACTCTGCATTCCTGTAGGAGGTTAGCAGAGAATTGCTTGAAGACATCAGGTCACTGAAAACAGACCACTGGAAAGGCTCCAGAGCTCTCGATGGTAGCACTGGGAGGCAGAGAACAGTGGAACCAAGTCACCAACACACCAAGATGATGTGGGATTCCCCTCTGAATGTTATGAATAGTTTTATTACCATTGGTTTATAAAGAAGCTGCTTTGGCCTACAGCAGGGCAGAATATAGCTAGGTTGGGAAAACTAAACTGAATGCAGGGAAAAAGAAGGCAGAGTAAGGTAAAGGACACCTAGCTGCCCAAGAAGCAAGATGTGTGGTAACAAACCATGAGCCTTGTGATAAAATATAAAATAATGGAAATGGGTTGATTTAAGATGTAAGAGCTAGTTAGAAATATGCCCGAGTGGTTGGCCAAGCAGTGCTGTAATTAATATAGTTTCTATGTGATTATTCGGGTCTGGGCAGCCAGTAAACAAAAGTGCAGGCTCCGTTTACATCAAGAGAAAAAGTAGCATTAGTCTAGGGTGGGGACATAGCTCAGTGGTAGAAAGCTTGACCAACATGCACAAGACCATGGGTTCAGCCCCCAGCAGCAGGAAGGAAGAAAAATGTCTTAGGCTAGAGAAATGGTTCATAGGTTAATAACACATGTTGCTCTTCCTTAGGACCGGAGTTCAGTTCCCAGCATCTACATCGGGAAGCTCACAATGGTGGCCTTTAACTCAGCTCCAGGGGATCTGGTGCCCTGTTCTGGCCTTCAAGGATACCCAAAAACCCGTGGCATACACTTACAAAAATGTACATATATGCACATAATGCTGAATAAATATAAAAATAAACCCAGGGCTGTAGAGATGACTCAGCAGTTATGAGTACTTATTGCCCTTGCAGAGAACCTGGGTTTGGTTCCGAGCACCCACATGGCTGCTCACAGCTGTCTGTAATTCTAATTCCAGGGGGTCCAATACTTTTCTGGCCTCCCTGAGTACCATGGTGCACATGCATACATGTAGGCAAAACATGCGCATGCATAAATTAATAAATAAAATCTTAATAAAAGGAAGGAAGGAAAGAAAGAATCAAAGAAACAAAGGAAGAAAGAAACAAAGAAAGAAAGAAACAAAGAAAGAAGAAGAAAGTAAGTTGGGTGGTGATAGCACACATCTGATGTGGAGGTCCACTCTATGTGCTGTGATTATCATTAATGAATAAAGAAACTGCTTTGGACCTATAGCAAGGCAGAACTTAGGTAGGCAGAGAAAGCTAGACTGAATGCTGGGAGAAAAAAGAAACTATACCCATAGTCCCAAATATTGTTTATAAATCTTTCTTTATATTTAAAGGGGGACATGCTATAGAGATGAATAATTTGCTTTGGTATAGCTCTTGATTTATTGATACAAATTTAAGGGGCTGGAAAGATGGCTCAGTGGTTAAAAGCATTGCCTGCTCTTCCAAAGGTCATGAGTTCAATTCCCAGCAACCACATGGTGGCTCACAACCATCTGTAATGGGGTCTGGTGCCCTCTTCTGACCAGCAGGCATACACACAGACAGAATATTGTATACATAATAAATAAATAAATATTTTTTAAAAAAACAAATTTAAGGTAAATTTTGTTATACCATATATGTATATTTCTGCCCTTGATTAAGGTATTGTGTTTGTGTAGTTCTTTTTAAAATGCAATGTATAATTAAGTAATATAAGTTAATAGATAGTCATCTATAATAGTCAAGATTGTAGTCATGTTAGTTAGGTTTTCTAGATATATTTCAGTTAGTTAGGTATCCTTCAAATCTTTCAGAGACCTTCAGAATATGGCATTTAAATGTTTTAAAAATTTTCATGACAGTGAGACACATCTGCTCCTAGCAGCACCAATCTACTTCAAGAAGAAGATGGGCATTGAAGAGGCTCATTATGGAGTTCATTAGATGAACTGGACATGCAGAATCCACAGAGAAATGAACTTGCCTAAAGGTGAGACAGTCTTTTGGGGTTCCTGCTTCATGAAAGAGTCTGCTAGACATTCTGCAGGACACAGAAGAAAGTGACTGACAAACTGCCAATATAGGCAGAACTGTCTTTGAAATTTCCTGCTTCATGGAAAAGTCTGCTGGATACTATGGGCCATAGATAGATGCCCCAATGGTACAGAAGAACTCTGGGTGACTGTCCAGGCAGTGAGATGTCTCTGTCAATTCTAGAGTTTTGGAAATTGCTTACAATATACTTCCTGTTTACTTAGGTAATATATCCTTCTGGAGTCTTTGATGGAGTTGAAGAATTTATAATTATAGTTTTCCTTAGTTATGGTAAAAGATAAAGTAGATATAAATATTGTAACTGTAATTCTTTTGTTGTTGTTGTTGTTGTTTGTTTGGGTTTTTTTGGTTTTTCGAGACAGGGTTTTTCTGTGGCTTTGGAGCCTGTCCTGGAACTAGCTCTTGTAGTCCAGGCTGGCCTCGAACTCACAAAGATCCACCTGCCTCTGCCTCCCAAGTGCTGGGATTAAAGACGTGCGCCACCACGGCCCAGCTGTAATTCTTATTTGATACCTGTTTTGTTATATGTAATTTTACTATGTTAAAGTTAAAACCTTTCTTTTTATTTAAACAGAAAAGGGGAGGTGATGTGAGAGTCCCCTCTGTGTGCTGTGTTTGCCATTAATGAATAGAGAAACTGCTTTGGACCTATAGTAAGGCAGAACTTAGGTAGACAGGGAAAGCTAGACTGAATTCTGGGAGAAAGAAGGGCGGAGTCAAGAGATGCCATGGAGCCACCACCGGAGATAGACATGATGAAACTTTGCTGGTAAACCACAACCTCATGGTGATATACAGAGTAATAAAAATGGGTTAATTTAAGATGTAAGAAGAGTTAGTCAATAAGAAGCTAGAGCTAATGGGCCAAGCAGTGTTTTAATCAATACAGTTTCTGTGTGGTTATTTTGGGTCTAAGCTAGCTGGGCTGCTGGGAAGAACAAGTGGCCTCCTTCCAACATGCACCTTTAATCCCAGCCCTGGGGAGGGGGGGTGCAGAGGCAGGTGGATCTCTGTGAGTTCGAGGCCAGCCTGGTCTATAAAGCAAGTTCCAGGACAAGCTCCAAAGGTACACAGGGGAACTCTGTCTTGAAAACAGAGTGGGCAGGGAGCCCAATTACCCTAGAGTTTGACAACTTGCCAGATAAGAAGCAAGAAATCCAGCACAATTAACCACATCTGTGGGAAGGCTGATAACAGTTCATCCCGTTTCCTGTGCGGGCACTTTCTGTTCAAACAGCAGTTAAGGCCTGAATGTCTATGGCCCTGGATAGAGGGCCTCATTCCTTTCTCTAGAGATGGCATGGAGTCTTGACAAAACTTAACTTGGTTTACTGGGAACATATCCTTGCCAAGGGTGGCACATGAGTTTATCCCAGAACTTGGGTGGCAAAATAAACTGAACTCCAAGGATGCAGGGCCTGACATAATGAACAGGGTTGGGAGCCCTGGCACTCTTGACACTTGAGTTGAGGGCTCTGTCGTGGGAATGTCTTACGCACTGGGGTGCTTATCTGACTGAAACAACAAAGCACCCTCTCCTAGCCACTGCTTGGTGCCAGGGCCCGGGTCAAACCCAAGGGCAAAGCAAAATGTGCTCTGATGGATCCACGCAGCAGGGTTTCAGGGGCAAGAACGGAGAAGCAAGCCAGCCTTGCCCTCCGCCGCAGCCTGCTTACCTTTCCTTTGTTGACATTGTGAGCTGTCCTCTGCGGTCAGCTTTCTTGATAAGATTTTCTCATGGATCGCAGGTAAACTAGAAGACTTCAGGAGAGCATTATTTTAAATAAATAAAGTTAGCAAAACTGGTATGAGAGAAATACTTGCACTTTGGCTCTACCTCATCCTTCTCAGTAAAGTGAGAAGAGCTTTCTGGCCCAGCTTCAGGACCACGACAGAGGGAAGTGGGTCAGAGGGGAAAGCGCAAAAGATGATGTGGAGTGGGTGTCAGGCAGTAGTGGGATGTCACTCAGCTGCTAAAGATCTGGAGCGGTAACTGAATATCTTTGCTCCCTGGAGCTCCTTCAAGATGAAGCCAGCTGCCACATGCAATGTTCACTGTGGCTCCCGGACATGGCCACTTCTAAGCAGTCTGGCAGAGCATGGCCTCCACTAACGTTTCTTTGAGTAACTACTGTGGTATCTGCTGCTTGCCAACCACGGAAGAAACCTTGTCCCTGCCTTGAAGCACTCCCAGATAAGCAGGAGGCTTTCCTAACAGTGGCTCAAGCTAGAATCTGCTCTCCCACAGAGTCGTGCTAAGGCTCAGGAGTCTTGACTTCTCCCACCTTTGGGTTTCACTCTAAGGAGACTGTCCTTAGGGACCAAGATGACGGCCAGAGCTCCAGGCGCCATCTTCACACTCCAGGAGGCTGGCTAGGGAAGGAAACGGGAAGGATCCCATAAACCGCCAGATGCAGGACTGTGGCCATGGACTTGTACAAGGGCAGCAAATATCCTAAGTGTGACAACAAATGGTGGGGAGGAGCCTTGAATCACAGCTGATGTGGGGTACAACGGTGGGAAGGGCTGAGGGAGAGGAGCCTGAATCACTGCTGATGCGGGGTACAAATTAATACAACTTTTATGAAAATTATTAAAGCTAGAACTACCATATGACCCTCACTCCTAGGCAGACACCCGAACAACTGCACACCTGCCACACAAACACCTTTACTGTTGCTCTATTCACTTCAGCGGGGAAATGGAAGCTGCTCAGCTGTCCAGCGATACATGAATGAACAATGGAAATCTGGTCTATCCTCTCATTTCCAGGAACTGAACAGTCCACATCCTCAGATTTAATTCCTGCCTCAACTTCCCTCACTTACAAAGCTCTGTATTCTCTGTTCCCCAAGTAGCTCTATCTCTTTTCCTTCCCTCCCTCCTTCCCTCCATCCCTCTCTCCCTTCCTCCCTCCTGGCTCAGGCCTTTGTACAAGCTGTTCCTACCTCCTGGAAGGCTCTCCATTCATCCGGTTCCTTCTCCCAATAGCCCCTTGGGCTCTCAGCTCACAGGCACCTGCTGGGTGCCTTCTGTCACGTGCACCCTCTTCCTCTCCACACCCCAGGTAAAGACTCACACTGCTCTCCTCTCTGCACCCCCTCCCATGCCTCACAGCTGCCCGAGACATCAGACAGAATAAGCAATGAGAGGAACTGGTGTTTTGGACTCTGGTGCCCAGGAGGACTGCGGACAGGAGCAAGCGCTTCCTGAAAGATACAGAGAACACCCAGGACAGCCAGGCCCTCAAGAACACTGTTTTTGAGACAGAACCTCACAGTGGCCTGGAGCTCAATGATTGTACTAACTGACTGTCCAGTGATTGCTGGCCAGGGATCTGTCTGCCTCTGCGTCCCCAGCACTTAGGTGACAGGCACACACCACCACACCCAGTCTTTCTACACGGGTTCTGGGGATTGAACTCAGGTCTTCAGGTTTTTATCAACACTTTATCAATAGAGCCATCTTCCAGCTCAAACTCCTCTTTATAGATGCTGCCTTCTGCCATATTTAAAACTCATTAAAGGGGGGGGCTGGAGAGATGGCTCAGTGGTTAAGATCATTGCCTGCCCTCCCAAAGGTCCTGAGTTCAATTCCCGGCAACCACATGGTGGCTCACAACCATCTGTAATGAGGTCTGGTGCCCTCTTCTGGCCTACAGAAATACACACAGACAGAATATTGTATACATAATAAATAAATATTAAAAAAAACTCATTAAAGGGACGGGAGACTTGACTGAGTCTTTGACGGGTTTCTGGGAGCCCTGATTTATAACTAAGTCACAGAAAAGCGGATCCACTACAGGTCCTCGGTGCGTGAGCGAGACAAGGGCAGATGGCAAGTCGGTCTTAGAGAAAGCACGGGTTGGTATCCTGAATTCTGGACTCTCAGAGAGTCAGCTGCCACTGAAATGTATGTTCTGAATGCAGCCAGCTGCACTCACTGAGCAGATGGGGACTGTCTGCTCATGGTGAGAGGCTCTATCGCCAGTACATCCAAATACTCCCTCTGTCCTGGTTTGCCATTCAAATTTCAGCTGCTTTCAAGGTTCCAGGTTTTGATTATTTCTATTTCCAGGACAGAAGATGGGAACTCTCAGCTGGGTTCTTGCAATAAATGTCAGAAGGCTTTCTGTGTTTCAGTACAAAGAAACCTATTTGTTTTGGGCACAGTGACTGGCAGTGCCCAAACACTGACAGTTGGCCTCAGCCACGCCTGTTCTGCCTGTGCTTGGGGCAGGAGTGATAGAGATCTCCATCGCATGCTAAGCACAGGGCCCAGAGCTTACAAAGGGTGACCGTTATAAAGACATCCTATGGAGTGCCTTCTTGGTGGCAGGCCTACCTTTGATGATAAAGGAGTCCAGACAGTGACAGGAGACAACCCCTCTCTCATAAAGTTTACATACTAGCAGAGGGAGAAGTTCAACCAACAAAAAAACCCTCAGTGAGAATGGGAGACCGTTACAAGAGGCACATGGAGTATGGAGGTGGGTTGCATCATCTCTGTGCTGAGGCCCAGGTAGTAAACACATGGCATATAACCTGGCATCAAGCCTCATGCGGTGTCCAATATGGGCACTCGGTCATCAGGAAAAGGCATGTTGACCTAGAGCTTCAAGATCAGTGTGGACATGGCCATGGTCAGAGGGATGCCCAGAGCACACGGATGCTCAGAAAGAAAGGGGATTGAGCTTGCTTCATCAGGAGCATCCTCTAGAGGGGGCCAAGAAAAACAGCTCTGAGCATGGGACTGAAGGGGATCAGCAGCCACTGTAAGCTGCATCTATGGTGCTGTAGCAGAATGTTTGCCTAGCAGGGTCTAGATTCCACTCTCAGGAGGGGATGGGGAGAGAAGGGGAGAAGAAGAGGGTGGGGGGAGACACAGACAGAGATGAAGGAATGAGACCCAGATGTGAGCCTGGAGCCATGAGCCTACACATCTGGGGGTCAACCTGGACTCAAAGGCTGGGTCTGCTCCTCTCACGTTTCCATGGTTGTCCCCCATACTCCTTCCATAAGTGGATAATCTGGAGCCTAACAGACCCCCCTCTGAGCAAATGGAGTAGAACAGGTCAGAGATATGCCTTCCATAGACGGCCAAGGTGCTCCAGGAAACCCAGGGTTGTAGCAGCTTCGGGGGCCCTGTGTAGTTCAGGGTCCAGGTCTGTGTTCTCTGCTTACCGGAAGGCGATAGAATTTCTTGTTTTTGTTCTGTTCTGCCTTCTGCGTGGAGGTTTTCTTAAAAGTGAAGAGGGAGAACTGTCTTCCTAGGAGACAGAAAAGCTGTTCTGTGGTATCTGGCCACTGTAGGTGAGCTCGTGGGAAAATTGTCTGTATTCTGTCAATCATATTTTAAATAAATGCTGATTGGCCAGGCAGGAAGTATAGGCGGGTCAACAGACAGAAAGTAGGGGCAGGGTGATGAAAACAGG